ATATAGACATAGTACCTACACATACTTATTCTAATTGGTATTCGTCGATAACAAACAGTTTCCTAAGAAAACAACACGGGTCGCGATATCCGTATTACTGCTACGGGGACAATATAATTATGTTTGTTTATAGAAAAAATGATATTCGTAACAAGCCCGCACAAGCCCGCCATGCGCGGGGCCCGGTGCGATCGCACCGCTTGCCCACCCCCCCCCCCCTAGGGCCGGCACTGAGAAGATATAAATACAATCAACATAAAAAAGAATATTGAAAAACAACCACGTTTCTTTACTAAAAATAAAAAAATAAACTTGAATTTCATCAATTGTCGTCGAGTGAAGGTAATATAATAAGAAAATCCTTACTAAATAATACAAGTGTTTTAAATGTTCATTCATATCACGATCATTCTTATAGCGCTAAAAGAAAATGAATTTCTTAATATATTGTTGAATTGTATCTTTTAAATGACGATCGTAAGTGAATAATGAATATTGTGTTTTTTTTTTTGAATTGTGTATTATTAAATTTATTAACTATTTTAATTATAATTTATAATGTAAAAATATCATGTTAGTTGGATAGTTATGTTATTATAATAACATTATTTTTATAACAATATTTGTGTACTATAATAATAATAATATCATTACACAATTGCCATCTGGGTACTAGTTCGAATTTTGAAAATATTTATCAAATTTTAAATTGTATTATATAATTTACCTTTTATAGCTAAATATTGAAAATTAAAAATAATGTTCCACGTAAATAGGTTGTACATTTATACTGTATTCTCAATGAATTGTGTATTTTTAAATTTTAAATTACGATATTGTGTTTTTTAATAACTTATTAACTATTAATGTATTTAACTATTTTAATTATAATTAATATAATAAAATATAATATTATAATTTATAATGAAACTTATGTTATCGGTTTATCAATGTTGTCACATTTTGATAACTGCAAAAAAGGGGCTAAATGTAGGCAATATTATATACGGACACAAAAAATTTTTTCCTGCGAAGATCCATTCGTGATATTCATGGTTGATACCATTTATATTAAGTTGCATTTACTATAATTTTTAGGGGCAATTTACCAAATATAGCGTCTATATTCAGGAAGTTATAAATTTATTATGTGCCAGTGTCACTCAACTAGATATGATTTATGAACATTTAAATAATTTATGAAAATAATAAATTTTACAACTTTTGTTGAAAATCAAATGTGAATATCACTGCTCTATTTTATTTTACAATAATTTATAATATTCCAAATATTTTACGTCTGATCAGTGATTATCAACTACAGGATGTGCTGTAATAACTAATAACATTCAAAGAAGTGATAGAAGTAAAACAAATATTATACATAAACTAATTATTGCGTTAAATCGTATTTTTACTAATTTTTACCCTAAAATCAATAACACAGAATTTGGAAATGATTGTGTTCTCAGAATGATCCAGAAACATTTTAAGACGTTCTTATAACTATTATATTTTTTATAACCCCTCGCTATTTTGGATAAAATATCGAAACTTATGTAATTCGTCGATTTAAGGACTTACTTCTGAAGTTATTGCTTAAAAACCACCAAATTTTGGATCTGGTCTGCCAGTATGTTTAGATACTAAGAAAAAAAGGTTATTATTCAATAATTCAAACAAACACAATTTATTATAATTACCTACAGGCTACAACCTACTATAATACTGATAGTTTCACACAAGAATGTTAACCTGCTCTCAAATGCGTGCTCAATAATTTTGTATAAAGTGAGGGGGAGATTGGTTTGAAATTTTTTTTCAAACTAAATATTTGTTAAATTTAGCGGTACAAATCAAATTTAGTGTCTGAGTAAATTTTTTTTTTTTTTGAAACCAGTCTCTTTCCAAGTGAAATCAACGTTTTAAAAAAATTATTATGCAAAAATAATTCTGACACCCACCAATGGTGGTTTACATAACAAGTCGAGAGATGTTTTCGGTTTTAATTGTACACCCGAGCGCAGGTGTATATTATGAAAATACCAAAAATTTCAATTAGATATAACTTAAAACTCACTCAACTATATCCAATATTTCAGCCGGTGTTCCACAAGGGGGCATACTCTCCCCTGTTCTTTATAATATTTATGCTGCTGATCAGCCTACTACACTAAACACTCTTGTTGCTGATTATGCAGACGATAAGGCAATAATATCTGTAAATTGTAATCCGGAAATAGCCTCACTCAATCTTCAGAATCACCTAACCCTTATGGAAGACTGGTATACCAAGTGGCGGTTCAAAATTAACCAGTCTAAGTCTATCCATACAACTTTCACACTTCGTCTTTCTCCTTGCCCAGAGGTATCTATTTATGGCACTCAAATTCCTACTTCTTCCACAGTCAAATATCTAGGTCTTACACTTGATCGTAGACTTACCTGGGCTCCCCACCTAAAATCTAAAAGAAAAAATTTAAACCTACGGCTGCGCCTGTTAAAAACTTTTTGCAATAACAACAAATACACTCACATTAAAACTAAACTCCTAATTTATAAATCTCTAATTAAGCCCATCTGGACATATGGCATACAACTCTGGGGTAATGCAAAACTTTCAAACATCAACAAAATACAAACCTTCCAAAACATAGCGCTAAGGAAACTACTTATTGCTCCACCTTATGTCTCCAACCTCTCCATTCAACAAGATCTCAGGATGAACTCCGTCAAAGATGAAGCAAAACTCTACTATAAGCGGTTTCACAGTAGGTTACTTAATCATCCTAACCCTCTCATAAAAAATCTAGCAGTCCCTTCGATTCCGGGTAACCCTGTCAGACGTCTCAAACGTAATTGGTGTCGTGACCTGCTAGACGCTTGAATCCTAGTTAAAATCCTCCTAAACTCTAAACAAAATAGGTAGTGTCATCATTGGGTGGCTTCTTCCGTCATATTACTCATGTTTTTAATACTCTTATCTAATTTGCTTATTATTCTATGTATGAATAGATTGTAAATATCTTGTAAAAATAAAAAAAATAAAAAAAAGATATAACTTCAAAATAAGTCTGACCACCAAATTCAGACTTCCCCATAATTTTCAGCATGCTTAACTACATAAGTAGCTTGTAGTCTGTGAGTAAGTTAAAATAAACAAAATTGAAAAGAAAGATTGTTCAGTAAAACAGAAAAGTTCCAAACTAATGATTTCCGGTAACATTGTTCCTAACTCGTTAGTCGTTGCAATACATAAGGGTTTCCAAAGAAAAAAATTGCCGTGGTGCTAAATTAGATTTATTCCCAATAAATTATTGTAGTTATATGTAAGTACATATTTTATATTTTTAAAGTGTCCCCGGAGGGGAGGGTTAACCCCCTAACCACCCCTGAAGCACGCCCATGCCTGATCTGCCCAAGTAACCAATGGAGACCATTTATAAACAAAAAAAAGTTTAAATTTCCCCAGTGAATTTCAAAATACTTGTTGAGACTTGAGGACCTCTTTAATATGTGAATTTTGGAATATCCTTTCTTAGAGTGGGTCTCTTCATCATAAAACGAAACTATCGTTTTCTACATTTTTTGTATAAGGTAACTACTGAGTATTGACCAAATTCCATAAACATAGCTTCGGTGGTTCCAGCTAGGCGATGACGAATCAAACAGTCAGTCAGAACAAGTTGTTTGAGTTCTTTCATATTTTTATATGTGTATACTGTATAGATCAGTGGTTCTTAATCTTTTTTAGTTCAGCGCCCCCTTTATCGTAATAACTTACTGCTAACGACCCCCCCCCCTCAAAATCAAAATTTCTTCTAATAAAGATATATATATATATTTATTTATTCATCAGTATATTACAGTATAACTTTATTAATTAAAGTAAAAACTCTTATTTTTAGATAATAAAGGTTATATTTTTCACCACTTAACAAAAACATTTTACTTTACTATACAAAAAGAATTGAAAAAAATGAAAAAAAAAATTATAAAATAAAAATTATACCTACCAATGACTACCCTGAGCCTGATGAGTAGCTGATAACTTGGCGATGTCTGGTTCGATATTGGTCAAAGCTAAACGTATATCACCTTTGTTAGAAATGTACAACCGATTTCTTTATTTCGTCAAAAGCTGAACAACAACGCTGAATCCTTTTTCAACTTGCAAGGTACAGTATACAATAGTCCAGTTATGGTTGAAAATGTAAAAATAAATTTTATAAATAAGACGTTCCCGATACGTAAAATACGATTAGATAACATTCCGTATGTCGTTGTATCGTACGCAATTACAACTATTCTGATTTCACGTTCAATTATTTGTAGTGTTGTTATATAATATTAATAAATTGTATTATTTTTAATCTCCGAGTTTGAAAAAACTCACCGCCCCCTCAACGCCCCCTTCAAAACTATCGCCCCCCATAGAGACCGAAATGCCCCCAAGGGGGCGGTAGCGCCCCCGTTAAGAACCACTGGCATAGATTATAAAATCAAACATTGTCAAGATTATCAATTTTGAATAATATACATCTATAATTACAAGTTTCAAATCCCTTATAAGTAATACACAGGCAACTAAATATTCAGTATTTATGGTCATATACCATTTATTTTTTTATCAGAAAGTGAGAAATTTACGCGAGCTATCAGCTCCTCCGATATCTTTATTATCTATAGTGATAATATATATTTTATCTAAAGTGGTAAAAAATATCTGCTACAGGAATTCGGAATAACGCCATATTGCTCTAACGGTTTAGTGATTTAAAAACGAATTACACGTCGATTTATTAATGTTACATTTATTTAAAACACTAATCGGAAATATTTTCGTTAATTTATACGCCAAGTAACAATACATTTTTTTTTTGTACAAATATTCAATATAATACAGCTGGTATATTGCATTTTTTTTGTCATAACACCTTTTTTACATCGTTATTTTATATAGATTGTTTATAGTTTTAAAATAATTTTTGTAGACAAGTATGTACAGAAATATAAAACCACATTACTTCTCAATCGATGCCATAATGGCTGCTCAAGAAAAAATTCAATGTTCATTTATTAAAAAAGTTGAATGTGTTGGTGAGTTTTTATTTGTATTATTGTAAAGTATGGTCTTCTCTTGTACCTAATACCGTTGTGTAGTTATGCTATATCGTCAACATTTTAATGTTAATAAATAATAATGACCTTATCACATTTGTTAACAGTATAGGTACTAATATATTATAACTGTCATAAAAATTGTAATGCTGCATTGAAGCCATTTTCTCCTACCAGCCCAAAATGTTGACGGTCATTTGATATTTTCTCAAATGCTTGACTGACCCTAAATACCAGTAGACTACGTATGTCTCTAGACCAGCTCGTTAATTTTTAATTAGTACCAGATGATTGTATAGATTTATAATTCAGTTTGGTTCCCTGTGGCTTTTTTCCATTGGTCTTTTTCTCTGGATTCATTCAAACTAGTGTCTATCTACTATTTTTTTTTTCACATTCAAATATAATTAAAAGTATACTCTTCTTTTATATTTTTATGCTGTAATGAGTATTAGTTCAAATTAAAAACATTATTTAAGATAGGTATTATATAATATAGTTTGGAAAATACAGCGAGTAGTAAAATAAATTGTTTTCATATATTTTTTTAGATTTTTTAGATTCAATTAACCCTGAAAAAGACGACGAAGAATCAGATCCAAAAATTGAACTTCCCTTGTGGATGATTCAAGTGCTTTTAGCAGGAAAATCAATTCAATTTGATATGCCCAAGGCATATAACGAAATTTACAGGTATAATATATGGTATTATTACATTTTTATTTTTTGGTCTAATCTATATTCAAACATTTGTTTTTACTTTTAGGGATGTCTTAACAGCCGATGCGAATGTAGTTGATTTATTTAAATTATGTAAGCATTTCTATTTATTTGGAAAATTTTTATCTCAATTGGAACATCGAGAAGCATATGAAGTCCGAAGAACACTAATTCAAGTAATAATGAATATAAATTTATAATTTATTATAACACCTCCAGCATTAAAATATATAGGTATATTATTTGTTTTTTATTCTTGCTCTTATGTAGACATTCATTGACAGATTTAAACAGACAATGGATTGGGCACAAAATATAGATGACAATCTGCCATGCTTTAATAGACTTGACTGTCTTGAGAGGTTGATATTTAATGAGGCTCGAGTAGCGCAGCAACATTTAAATACTTATTTAACCGAAGGATCAGGTCAAATGGAAATTGCTGCCATGATATTGAATTACAGAAAACGAAAAATGCATGAAAGTCGTGTACTAGAATAAAAATAAAATCATCTTATGGCAAATGCTAATGGATTTGGGTTAAGTGACCAGAGTAAATTGTGATTCAAATTAATCATCATAGTGAAATTGTAATTATATATTAAGGTATTCATAATAAAATTTATAAATTTTCATGTAAAATTAGTAACTTGAATTTTGTTTACGTTTTCAAAGGAGTTAAAGGGCTAATATCTGTAGAGGTTATGCAAATACTTATGCAGTTGGCAAAATTAAAAGTATTTATCCAAAATTATTTTTTCTGAGACTTAATTCTGTGTTTATACACCAAGGTTATGAGTGATGACACCTATTGAAGTTCTTACATCTATTTCTACTTCAATCTATTTTACTTTTACTTTATTATTGCCATTCAGTTTTTTTGTTTAGTGAAAAGTCTGTAATAAGCGTATATAAAGCTCATTTAATTTACTATAGTTAATCCGTAATCGTGTTTATTATTTATCTCTTAATGAGTGATGAGAAGAAATTATTATAAAAAATTTCACTCGAAATATGAAAGTATCCAAGGAAGTCACACCAGCAGTATGGTCTTCGTCTTACAAATGAAAGACACATCAACCTTGAACTTATAATAACGCTATCAAATTTTGTTTCACCATAAATAAGTTTGTTTTGCTATCTTTAATATTGTTATAAATACTATATTTACCTATTATCAAACTTAAAGGTAAGCACATCTGTGATTATATGTCAGTTTTTAGGTGAGTTACACTTATACATAATATGTAAAATATTTTAATTTAAAACTGCTTATAACTCTCAAACATTAAAATTAACAATAAAAAATTGGTTCTGATGTATGGTGTATTCCAATTTGATATGTTGTATATTATATTATATAACTTTATATTATAATATATTAGTTATTAGTTTATTACTAATAATAATCAACCAAAAATGTTATTAAGTAACATTCAATAATAAGTATTACTAATATATTTTATTTTAAAAATCTGACAAACATTTAATTATTTATACATTTAATATAATATATTACATTATTACATTATTACAATAAAATATAATTTCAATATAACTTATATCATTGATTATATACATACATCATCATTATATTATTAGAAAAGTGCGTATTTCACAAAATATATTACTGTTATTATGTAGGTACATAATCTTTTGGTTTTTGAATAGCACGTTATAGTTTAAATTAGATTATAAAATATACAATAATTGAATAATAATGCAATATACAGATCAATAATAACAATAATAAAAATAATCATTGACTTACAAATTCCAAAAAAAAAAAAAAGGATTTTCTTAAAATGGTACAATCATTATGATCTTATTGCCTATGTCTTACTAAAATATAAATTATTATAATATACAGAATATAGGTTTTAAAATATAAGTATAAATTATGATTTGCTTATTTATTTTAATTAAAAATTTAATCCAAAGTTGTTAATTCTATATATCAATTGAATTATTATACATAATTTACCTACCTATACCTAATGGCAATGTACAAATTAGTTATACTAGTTTGGAAAGTATTTGAAATTTGTATAGGTATTTAAATTGTATATTATTGACAATGAAATAGTAAATAGTAAATAAACACGATAAATCAAACATAAATAGAAAAAATATAATTTGTCAAACAAAGGTACACATGTTTGTAATTTCGATATAATAGGCAGTTTGAATATTTAATCAAGGTTATTGAATAATTCTGTTTTTTTTACGGGTATAGTAGGTTATAAGAGATCCTAATCTGACCGTTGTATTACTCGATTTATTGAGAGAGATGGGGATACATTATAGGAGAGTCTTACAATTATAATAATAAAATAAAAATAAAACAATAACAAAAATAGTATGTTAACCAGTTTAGGTATTTAAATTAATAGAATCACAATGTCAAAGTTATTATTCAAATAAGTCTGGGCAATATATTATGACGATTATCAACATTTAACATTATATTATGTAAAGTGATAATAGAAGTTATCAACCTATATACCTAGCTATATTATAAAGAATTCAACGCTGTGTTCAATCGCAATGGATGTTCTGGAATTTTAATGCATTATTTAATTTATGACACATTGATGACATTGATGTTTTTGTTGTCTTGATGGGCATTTGCATCAGGATCGATTGAAGCTCCTGTTCAGTAAGAAAAAAAAGTATTAAAATCATTTCATTTTGAGGGTTTCCTATGACATTGTATTGTTGATTAAAAAAAACTGTCAAACCACACACAAAATTTTAATGTACACAATTTTAATCTAAATGTAATTCAAAATGCTTGAGAGTTAAAATGTCTCTAACTAACAAATGTTTGTATCATGACAGAAACAAAATAATGTCAAAATAAATTCAATCATTAAGTGACATTGGTTATAGGTACCTAATACCTATACAGTACCTAATAGACAGCTAACTTGTCTTTTTTTAAACGATTCGAAAATTAAGTATTCAGCAAATTACTCGCTTACAAAGGTCAAAGAGTAGCTAGGTAATAACTAATAAGCTTGAGTATGCGTTCCTCATCTATAGTTTACTATAATTGAATGTTGATTATCTACTTACTAAATTATAACCAAAACATTGGTAATAAAAAAATGCAATATTCGTGTTTATTAGATAAAAAATTGTATTAACTCGTTTTATATAAGTACTCAAAAGTAAAAATATTTCTAATAAATAATTATAAGAACTTGACATACCTAGTACACATACTGTCATACTTATACATACGACATAATCCAACCCATACCTTCATAACATAGGAAGTAGAAATTGTAATCCATTAATTGTACACATATATAATATATTAATATGGCTATAAAGTATAAAGGCATCATCATAAGTTTACAATCTTCAATATTTTTGCACTAAAAAACTAAAACTTTTCTAGGATCATTAATAGCATTTCCATATCTAGTCATTGATTTTTCTTACACTTTCAAAATACCCTCTTCGGACCTTTCTATCCATAATCCATTGCAATCTCATTTGGAAAGCTTGACAACCTCAATGGTTCTCCTACCCTCATAGCACAGACGCATCATTCTCTTCCGAGGTTCACTGACCTTATTTAGGTCACTAATTATTTCTTACTCTCGTCTGTATTCCCCTCAAACATTCCTGTCTTCGCTCGCTGAATTATTCACCCAGGGGAATCTATTTGTGATTTTGAACACATTCTCTTTCATCGCCCATAATTTCCATCTCATAAAACCACACACTTCTCTTGTCTGTCCTGACTCCTGATATTCAACTTATGCCAAATTCTTGTTCTATTCTTGCCATCATCAATATTTTTTCCATCACTAAATCATTTGACTTTCTTATTCAACCCTACTGTCTCCACTTATAATTTGTAAAATGTAGAATCATAATTTTGCTGTTAATCATTGTGCTATTAGCCATAGTGACATATTGTTGTAACTAATACAAGCAATTAAAACAAAAAAAACTATAGTCTTTAGTAGCTTTCAGTTTCATGTATGTTTTTTTGTAATTTGTCTCCTATTCTTTTGTTTTTTTACCACCTCTACTTATATTGTTAGGCTATCTATAAGTATACAACTAATGTAGGTACGTCATTCGACTTATCTGAATTCAATAATAGGTACAATAATAATTGATATTAATATTATATTATCATATATAATTGTATACCTCCGAGTAACATCTCCTGTAAAAGCGGTTCGATGTGTGCCATTCCGAACAACTTTGCGAATTGAATCTGTTCGATCATTTGCCAAGTGATCGATTGCAAAGCTGGCAACGTGAGCAACAGTTCGGCAAACCGGCCGCACGTCTCGTATTGCCTGTCACTGATGTAGTCTTCTAGGTTTCTGTGGATTTGCTTGCGCATGCGTCTAATGCGGTCCGATTCGTTTAGGCCTTTGGCGTCTGTATGGATAAAAAAAATTAATTTAAAAAAATCCGATGGTAAAATTCACGTTGCACGCTATGGTGTAAGTGTGTAACAACAAATGGTAGTTATAGGTACTACACAATAATATATTATACTGCATCCGGCATCATGTCATAATAACGGCGAAACGGCAACGTGATATAATAATAAAATAAAGATAGGTAGTAGGTACCTATATTTACTGTTAAATTAAAAATGTATTTACTTGGATCGAAGAAAACGATGGCCTTTAGACACGCGAATTCGGTGTCGTCGATCTGCACGTCGTTCAACGGTTTGACAAGCTCGTCCAATACGCGCGAACCAACTCTGCTTATATCCAAGTCCGACGGAATCCCGTTGTCTGATGGTCAAATACAATAATTGGATGTTAGACGCATATAATATATTATTATTATATTAAATAATCTTCAAAACCACGTTTGACCGCCCCATTGGTGGTTTTTTTTTTTTGGCAGAGCCGGCCTTAAGGTGGAGCGAGGCCTGGGGTAATTGATTTTAGGCGAATTCTCAGAATATATAGGTAAACATTTTTTTAACGAGAGGCCCAAAAAGCCATACGAATACACGAGGTCCGGGGCATATTGAAAACTAATACTCCACATTGACGCCATTAGGGGCGGGTCTTGGGGGACTTGACCGAAGCTCTGGTAAAGAAGGGCTACACAGTCAATATATTGAGGGACTAGAGACTAGAATCCCAACAAAAACGTTTGCCAATTCGCGCCTGTACGCACCACACAATGTAATATTTTTCGACTGGTACATAATAATTAGTAAAATTGTATTTATCACTTACTAATTACTATTATTTATTGGTTGCAATAATTAGTTTTCACTTACCGGGTACGTGACGGGTTATTACGCTATTGTTTCCCAGCAGCAGCAAGTCCTTGAGCATCAACGACCTCTTGGCCAAACCCAAGAGTAAGTGTTCTCCCGCGTGAGCCCGCAACAATGAAACCTACATCATAGAACAGTGCGACACGTTACGTAACGATGATATACAGGTACTCATACTTTCCGCAGCCCCCTCGCGAAAAAACGGAAACGGATATTGTAACGTACCTGGTCGTTCAGCTGGAGTTCTGTGAACGCGGGTATGCGCTTGGCCCAGTCGACCAGGAAGAGCAATTGGGTTTTCATGGACTCGCACACGTCCCCGATGTTCGCCACGTGTTTGTTCGCTAGGTTATTGTCCTCAGCCGTCTGTAGACATCATAAATCATAATAAATATCGGAAGTCGTTAAGTATAACAAATAACAATACGAGAAATTTCATTATTTTTAGGCCTAATATATATATATTAGGCATAAGGTGACAATAATATTAATATAATAAAGGCAACGGTTCGAACGAAACCGGTAAAAATATGCTTTGATCGGTCAAAAGTATTATTTCTACCGACTACCCGAACCTGATAATTATTTTATTGAGGACCATTTAGCATTGGCGGGGGTTAACATGAGAATGTCACTCTTGTGGACACCAAATCTTTATCTTTTTTTCGTATATATTATAGATCTGGATTTTTAGTACTTTGTTTATTTTTTGTACATGTCTATAAAACATATCGCGTATGCTTTAGGTACCTACTTAATAATAATATAAATATATATTATATTATATATTAATAGACTGTAAGTCTATAGTATAGGACTCTGATATTATGGATAAACAAAAAATATTGACCTAAATAAGTTTTTGCATACTTTTATTTTTTAAGAAATTCATAAGGAAATTAGTTTTATTCTCATATTCGGTTATCGAATTTGAAATGTTAATTTGACGGATATGAATATTTGACCTGTTGGATTTTTGAATATCTTACTCGAAACTATTTCATTTCTTACTATACAGGTACTATTACTATACATATATAATTTTCTACAATGTTACAACGCTTTAAAGCTTAAATTAAAATGTTAATAATTCTATAGATAGAACGATGTGGTTTATAAATAATTATTGTAATACTATTCGTCAAAACGACCGTGAAACTATTCTAAATTATTCTGAATGGAAAAAATGTTGCAGCGGAAACGAAATTTTTATATTTGAAAGACACCATGCTCTCCCGGTGCTTTTAAAGCGATACACATTGTACCTATATATTGTTATTAAAACGTTATCAATTATATCACTTGCATCGGATTCGCTGCGGGACAAGATTTCGGCGTTCAACAGCGACGTGACGGACAAACCGCTGGCGCACGGTTGCTCCTCGTAACTGGGTCGTCTGCAGTTGATTCGGTCGCGTTCGTTCTGCACGGCTAAACAGTTCATGAAAACGATATAATTACTTTACACTATGATAGAGATACATTGTAATATTGTTATTTAAGTCAATAATAATCGATCATGCTGTCGAGTGATCCGCGACTTGTCCGTCGCGACTTACCTTCTTTTCGCATCCCGGCTTTGAAGCATTTCCGCAAACGACAGTATCGACACTGATTGCGCTTGTCCTTGTTGACGATGCAGTTTCTCGAAAATCTGTCGGGACAACGACGCGAAAAAACGGTGTTAGTTTATATATTAATGTGAATGGTACACGACGAAATCCGCCGACCGCAGTGCAGTAAGTTAATCTAGGGGGGGGGGGTGTCGTGGAAAACGAAAAAAACACTGATCCGCAATTGACGACTCACCTGCACGAATAGAAATGGCTCTTGCGGACGGATCGCCGGAAGAATCCCTTGCAGCCGTCACAGGACGCCGCTCCGTAGTGTTTTCCAGTCGCCCGGTCGCCGCAGATGGAGCACGCCTGGTTTTGATTGGTCATGGGCGGCGAGTGTACTTGCGGCGCGTCGATGGCCTGCAAATAGGTCTGCTCGCGGTGCACCGGCATGCCGTTGAGGTCCGTTTCTGCTATAAATCAGTTTCCCTTAATTTACTTGAAACGATATTTTTCTAATACTATCATACACAATAGTGGGTGTTATAAATTAGGACCCCCATAGGCCCTCTACATCTCGAAAATAAATTATTGTGAAATATGTTTTTATTTAAAATCTTAAGCGCCCAAAGGCTTTTAGTTATGATAACGATTATTTGCATATAGATGACAAGATAATTTATGGAGAAAATAAAAAAATTTTTTTAAGAAAATATGGGTAAATGTGAGGTACTAATGGGTAATGACGTAGTACTAATGTCAAGCATTTCTGTCTCACATCATTCTCTTTAAAGGTGCATTTTTTGTTGAGTTCGTACTTGGTTTGCCCCGAAAATAAAAAAGTCACTTGACTTGGTTCGGTTTCGTACCCCAAGATGCTGAGTCGTTCTAAAAGACGTGTGGCAGGCAGATGCCATGATGTGGATAAACATTTATAAAGAATGCATTAACATTATACTATATAATATGTACTTTATTTGAAATACTATGGCCTATGGGTATTTCTACTAAGTACAAGCAATTCAAATCAGATACATGGATTGATCATTGGTCATCAGCCAAACCTAACGTGACACCAAGTTTAAAATACAGTTATGCAGAAGAGTTTTAGTTATAGACTATAGTGGGTACGACCAGTGTTTAATCACCTATAAAATCACAATTCTCAGTATATAGTATATATTATAGCTATAATAACGTTTTCAATAATTTAGCAGAGGTTGCCATAATATGTGAAATATCTTCCAATTTTCAGCTACACAGCCACCTTTCATTACGGCTGCGAAAAATATATAATCGATATACATTACGTAATATCTAATGTGATTTATACATGGCGTTCCTATATACGATGTTCGCAATATGTTGCAGTTAAATATTAAAAGCAATAAATCAAAACGCCAATAAATCGTATTGTACGTGATTTGACCGACGTTAAAAAATAAAATGCACCAAATAACGTTTGGCTCACTAATATAATATAATATATTTATATAAAAAATATAGAGCAATAAATATTGTATATAATATGTGGCCTGTGACTAGGATAGAAAATGTAGTTAATAGGAAAGTGAATATTGTATAGGTATCATGATGCTTCAGTCCTAGCGTAGTTTTTTAGGTAAGAAAATACAATTTTTTCTTCGAGGCATAGATAAGCAATTATTTCAGTAAGTAGTACCATTATTTTATTACTATATATATATACGATTTAAATCCTATTCAATGAAATGTGAACATGTCTATACATATTTAAAAATAACTCAATTATATATTACCATTATGGTAATGGTTATTTGTTCAGACTTATCAATGTTATACACTGTTTGTGTACCTATGATAATTGATAATCTATGGCACCTAATAGGTATATTATACCAATATACAGCTCAGAAATATTTCTTTTCTTTTCAATTTACCTATTTCTGAAGGGGGAGAAGCAATATTGAACGTTACACCCGGATAAAACAATCGCAACGGTCTCGACGGCGAAAACTAATATTTACTTACTACATTTGCCACACTGTTTGATTTTTAGAACAAAGAAAAATGTCGAAGCGTTTGCAATCGGTACCTACTCTGCAGCGAATGAAATAATAGAAATAACATCCACAATACCATTTCCCAAAAACTATTTACGACCGGACCACCGTTACCTTATAGGTTCATATATTTATTTTGAATTTTGAATCCAACTGCCATTTATTTTTACGTATTCCCCCACAATTGGTTCCTATAAGGGCGTTCTAAACGCAACAATAACACATCGATATTTTGTTAAAAATAGCATCGTGTTCACGAGGTAAGGTATAAGAAACTGTTAACTTGTTGACCACCGCTTATAGTGCTCGTACGGCAAGTATGATAGTTGAAAGGTAATAATAAATAATAATAATAATTGTGCATTTGAATAGTGAATACTGTTTAGAGGTTTTAGAGCCGTGTATAATATACCTATATTACAACATTATACCAGTAGAACCACAGTCTGTGACGAGTGTTTGTAATAATATTACCCATGTAAGTATACTATTATAGGCCGACGAACACCACCAAAAACGAAATACGTACCGAAAACCAACACAATTCAACAATAATAATGTATTTATGAATAAATAACTTACACATTTCCGCTTGGGTGGTTGTACTACTATAGTGCACAGGACACTGTTGAACTTTGTACTATACCTTATTATAATATATTACGAACGGGACAGTCGAAAAACGTTTACACAAGAGAACGCGACGTTCGGTGGCGACGGACGGACGGACGGACGCGGGAAATATTTTACAATGATATTACAAGAATGATGATCAGAAAGAAAACGTAAATAATTCTAGAACAATAGTAACGGTCGGGCATGATGGAGGCCTACAGCATACGCGGACAACATAATATATAATATTATTAAAATATACCGCTCAGCCGTCTACGATAATACACACACAGGACAGCGTTTCTCGATTTACTGCCGCGCGCACCTACCTATGACCAGGTACCTATACCGTCGTTTTTGACATTATCGTATTTGTGTTTACAAATTAATATTCAAATTACCTTATTTACTAGGTTTTATCAATAAAATATGTGAATGTGTGTGTATACTGTATATATATATATTATAAATGCGCACTGCTCGCGGTTTGGATATCATGAAAACCAACAGATAATAAAATTTCATCTCTGGCCGCGGACTTTGTCCGGTGTACATAATTTACCTACACGCCGTCAATAATAAGACGTATGTGTGTATACCGCAAAGAGCACAATAACATATTATACATAATATAAGTACCGATATCATAATACAATTGATGCGATGTTATTGAGCACTCTGTGCACCACGCTTTTATCATTCCTATATTATAATATAATACATCATATTACCTATTATTATTAATTATATGATTGCTTTATAATATTATAAATTTGAATTTTTATCGTTATTCGGGCTTATAATAATATTATGTGTATTTAAAGGCAATAGGCAATCCTGTCGCACGAGACACGGCGCACGGCGCACGCGGCCGCTTTACCGCATACCACATCAGCGCCGTGGTAAACTCGGGTATACCGCACATTGCACAGTGTTACATGATGTCATCGCGACGACGATAATTTAATATAAAATTATTTTATTTATTATGATACAGTTCGGTAGTTTGTCACACGTGCGTTTGCCGGCAAAACAGCTGCACGAGAGGTAGTGCTGCATCGCTGGCACACACACACACACACACACACACGATAATGTCACGCCGTTGCCGTCCCACCCGTTTTTTTCGTGGGGGGCAGATTCACAGACAAAGTTCAAATAATGTCTTACAACAAGTACATCATACGTTTTGATATTTCAATATTATATTATTTATATTAGAAATCTGGAATATAGCTCAGACACAGTACCTATGTGCCTATGCATTTTCGTTTTTTTATTTTTATTTCCGATACTAACATATTATAGTTATTAAAAACTTAATGCAAATCTATATTCAATTTTGATAGGTAGCATTCTCATTTGTTGGCCAAAAATCAAATGTATCAATTTTTTTATGTTTGGAAGTGTGGTCTCAAAGACCGTAAAAAAAATTAAGTTGTAAGTATTACGGGCCATATTTTTTTTAAATATTAATCTTTATTTTGTAAGGTGATGCAGCACAACATGCAATGTATATTATTTGATTTTCACTCGGTCGAAAACTTTGAATGACTTTTTAAGCATTTAATGTTCAAATGTTGACAAATTCATCATAATCACAAAAATTTACAAATTATTTTGTAGTTAAGAATGTATAAAATGTTCAATTTGTAGAGCTAAGGATTGAAAACTTAAAAAAAGGTTCTTCATAAGTAGTAAATATTGTAAAATATAAAAAAAGTATAGGAATGAACACAGACTTTTTAGTCTTATAAGTTCAAATTTGGACGAAATTAGATTTTTAAACAAAGAATAACGATATTAGTTATTTTGTTGGAATTTGAAAACATTTTTTCTGGAGACTTATACAAATATAAATTTTACTATATACAATGACATTTTCATAGATTTAGATTAATTAAAAACTATAACATATTTATAACATGAACATATGTCCTTTTCACACTGTTCTACTATAAGATGGTATAGACTCAACGGTTATAACAATAATATAATAGAATAGAATTATAGATTATAGACTATAGTATTATAATCATTAAAAATTAATTAATATAATAAATACAATGTTTTCAGCAAAAATTAAATCAACCTTCCGTAATACTTATGGTGAATTAAGTTACTTTAACAGCAATATTAAAAAACATAATTTCATGAAAATATGAAATAATACTTGATATAGGCTGACAGGGGTTCTCTGCACGATCGCATAGAATCGTTTACCTATGTATACACTGATATATTATATCACTACTAATAAACCAAATATAATACATCCATTACACATCGGCGTAACTAGAGGGGGGCTTAGGGGGGCCAGCCCCCTCGTACTTCAATTTAGCCCCCTATGAGGTTTTACTTTTTAGCCCCTCTTTAGGCTCGTAGTTAGAACCCTAATCGTTACGAAAAAAAAATAATGTGTAAAATAATAAATTATTATAATATAAAATTATATATAATAATTGCAGACATTGTGTACAGTGTAGTTATGTACCAAGTACGAATTTATCATAGTTTTTATTGTAAACAATTATCAAAATGTTCAGTATATTCAAATAAAAAAAAATCTAGTAGTGCTAAGAACGAAGATGACCCAAAAAAATTATGGTTTATATTAAATTTTGGTTTTAGCGGGCTTTTTGTAATAACTACATTTTTGCGAATCTTATAAGGGGGGTGTGGGGGGCTTTGCCCCCACGTGTTATTTTACACTTTGGTTTTGTAGGACTCTAGCCCGTGTAACTATATTCAATCCTAGTTACGCCCATGCCATTACAGTGATCCACTCGACACCTATTGACACCAGAGCGGTACCCACCTTTTTTTTTAATTGTGTTAATATGTCCTAATGATAATACAATAATATTATAAAAAAAAAAACCGATGTGTTATATAATTTACATAAAGGTTTTTCTATTGTTGATTCATGTTCATACTTCATATAATAAACACCTACCATAGCAAACAAACAACAAAATATATTACATTACCTATATGTATCTCGACGGTATTTGTATATAACTAGGACCTATTATTGTATTATAAATATTTTATATTTTACCTACATCTTATTATTGTTTATAGACTATAGTTATGTAGATTATTTACAAACAAATTACATTACAATAAATTGCAATATGTTTCATAACTATTGTAGTTACATTTTTATGGACATTTAAATAAACAATAGCAAACATTTTAATGTTCGAAAATCGAGAATATTTTTTATTTAAATTAGTTTTAATTTAAAACTAATAAATCAATATTTTACACTTCTTTAATATATTAATGGTATAACGATATACAATAAATGTATAATAAACTTATAAATTATCATATAATGAACAAACATTAGTTTTTCATTACACCATTAGTAATATCATGGATAAATAATATTAAATATGAATATAAGTTGTTGTTATATAATAAAGAGATTTCTAAAAACTGATGGTGTAAGACTCGAGCACGAATAATCAGATGGATGTATATTAATTATAATACACCATCAGCTACCTCATCAACCTCATCAATATCACATATTTATATATTATACATTTGGTTTTAAGATGCATTTTTATTTTATAAGCATTTAAGAGGCCAATTGAGGAAAGATCAAAGATTATCAACATTTTACCTGTAGGTGCATTGATTATTTTATTGTTAGGTACATTATAGGATTAAAATCAATATATGGTCGGGACTCGAGATAGTATAGCATAGTTAACTCATATATTAGTATTTTGTAGAGCGATGCTGTACACGCAATAATGCAGTATTAGCACTATTATTACAAATAGTAAATACAATATTTAAAGCAATGTACCAAAAATGCATATTTTCATACCTACCCTGGTGTCCGACAAACTATAATAGATTATTTTATATTTAAAAAAAAAATACATACATATAGAGAGTGCAGTTAACTAGAAATGTTTTTTTTTTTCGTAAACAAAATTACCCTAAGTGAGAACACAATGTGAATTTGAAGTATCTACCTAATATTGTAATTACTAATTAGCTATAGTGTAAGATGTGGTAGGTATAGGTACATAAATAAGAGTGTTACTTTCATTGAAAAATATTTTTCAAAATTAGTTCAAATGCCTTAACATGTTAAAAACATTTTATAGTTGACTTTAAAATTCTGAAATAATTAAAAATATTCATATGGGGGGACTTATCTATGACTTTATTTTGAAATGTAGCTAATTAATTGAATAAAATGATCATAATATATTATTTATTTTGTATTATATGTACAAACATGAAACCACGGTTTATAAATGTTGAGCTATTTTTTTAAAATTATAATTATAAATAACACAATCTTCCGATATGGATGGATATGTTACAGAATACCTACCTATATAATTGATGAGATAAGACAAATGATAAATATTACGTGTTGATCAGCTATGAGCCAACTATAGGTATTTCAAATATAAAATAAACAAAAGTTGTTCTATACATGCTTTGATGGATCAATGGATGAGTTAATTAAAAATCTCAAACTTATTGACCTAAAAATTAAAAAGATAAATGGTAATGCAAGTCGGTTTACCTAAAAGCATGACAAAATAGATATAGATATCATCACAGTTGTAATAGTTTTTTTCAGTATGCGCATCTCCTTCACCTCCAGCCCATGTCATAGTTCTCCACTTCTGATTGATCGATTTTGTTCTATGCTATATATATATATGCATGTATAATGTATATGATTGACAGCCAATAAGAAAAGGAGAACTACGATATAGCGGTGAAGTAAAGAGCGGAGGATGCGTATCAAAAAACTGTGATGATGCCTATCTATTTTGTCATGCACCTAATAGTATGCAGGGTATAATTATAACTCATCGAGAATATTTTGTGGTGGAATTGAAAACATTTTCGCCATTTTTCGAATCTCTCACTATAAAGCGAGAGAACACGCCGATTCTGTCCATCACTCCGGCATGCCGCCGCGCCGGTTCCTCAGTGGCAGAGTGTCACGTGGGGATGCGCAAAGAACCGATCTTTGTCGGGCAGCCGAGTATTCTCTCGATGGACAGAGTATAGAATTAGTTTCAACATCGTAATATGACATATTTTCATTATTTGTAAATTTAATGATAATAAATAATAATGTATTAAAATAATATGTTCCCATTTTATATCGTACCTACAATTTGTAACAGATTTTATTGATGAAAAGGGGAAGACACCCATTGACTTTTTAATACTACACTAAAAAACTATTACACATATACCAATACCAAAACTATACTCGTTATAATAATATATATTTTATACACTATAACAATATTATTATATTAATATGTTTAGTTCCTATTCAGTATACATCCAATTCAGAATTCTATGATAATCGAGTAGTGGGTATAGCCATACTTATGGGTAATAATGACTATAATGAGTGATAAAATCGCATAAAATAAATAATATCGTAAAGTTTTTGAGCTAATATCTTTAGAATTCGCAAACACTCAGCGATCGATCCAGACACTGAGTACTAATACTTACTAGTTAGTACACAGATGCTTATTAAACATTACCTATAGTTATTAGATAATACTAAGGTACTGGCGTACTGGACATGGTTAAAATATCGTGGAATATCCTAAATTGAAATTTATTTTAAATTGCTAATGTTATAATTTTAATCATACTGCTGGGTATTGACTATTGGTAATTAATAGTTCCATCATTATATCATATAACAACTCAACACAATGCAATTATTGTGATACTATGATTTTATAAAATTATAAAAATATAAAATGTATTAATTAAACACGGGCAGTATAATATAAGACTGGTAGTTAGTACTAACTTATACCTACTAGTTTACTACTATCCATTTCGTATTATTGATTCCATTTAAAACAAAATAATAAAACTTACATACATTAAAACAGTTTTCAGCCAAACGTGAATTAGGTATATTTACTGGGCACAGCACAACTACTGAACTACGGCGATCAAAAACATAGGTATATAATATTATATTATAATATAAATATATCAATATTACACCATTAATAAGGCATTATATTGTTATAATACCTCTCACAGTCCAGAGTATAATATACAATATTCTACATTCTGTAACCGTGGTTCACTGCAGCTACCACAGAGTTACAGACCAGTAGACCACAGTATCTTTATTCCGTAGTAATGATAACAAAATATATTCGAAAAATAATTAATCTATTCATTATTCGAAGGAATAGACGTCCGCTAAAGTCAAGAACCGTACAATAACATCAATTTGATATCATCACAAATATATTCAAACAAAAACGTCTATGTAAGATTTTAAATTTAGTCGGGTACCTACACAATATAAAGCTATTAAAAACCAACAAACGTAAAAGGTGAGAATGATAATGATAATAATAATAATAATGTAATAATGAATTTGTTGGAGTATAATATTATAACCTGTAGACATAAAGTACCTATTTTGTTTTTCGGGACATTTAAGACGACCGTAATATTTTAAAATATAACAACCAAATAGGCTAAAATAGCGTTTAAAACTTGTTTCCTAATGGCAAATGAACAAACAGGAAATATAGTTGCTGATAATGCTTACGAATTATTACTGACACAATAATAATATGATCAATAATAATAATAATAATCATAATAATATAATTGGAAAATGTAATAAAACAATATATTATTACACAAACTGCATAATTCAGTACAATTACGTATACCTATGCCGTATGTGCACTTTTATAATATTGCCTACCTATAATATATTCATACAAGTAATATAATATATATATTGTGTTTTATATAGGTACTTGTATATAGGAGGTATATTATAATTTATGAATATAAATAATATAGGTACGCTTTATATTATTATCATCGTGTACAGTATTATGGTTTCGATTGGAAAATAGAATATAAATAGAATAATATTAGGCGTCCATAATTTCTAATAATATAGTATATGCTTCTCTACCTACACATTACCCATTTACAAGGACTTGTCAACCCGTTTTCATTTTACCTATAAAGTAAGAGTCGAGTTGTACAACGATCGTTGTCGCAATTATTACCTGTGATCCAAACGTTCCCATTGTAAATGCCTTCACTAAACGGCTCGGACTTGAGTACGAAATTATTGTTGTTGGACGGCATGGACTCCATGAATGGAAAATCGTTTATGAACATTTTCAAAGTAACAGCCGTGGTTTGAGAAGTAAAAGTACGACGGCGATGATGAAAAGCACCTCAGAACTCACGATGCTGGCATGACGTTATACTTTTTTAATATAATCGGAATAAAAAAAAAAAATGTTTAGTGAAATATAGGTATATAACAGTAAAAAAACAACAACAGTAATAAATAATATGAAAACCGGTGCACGTTCGCGTAACCTCAGTATAATAAATAATATGTAAGAGTATAAGACTCCTCAGTCATCTGCACCGGGACGCGTATTGTACAGAAATAATCGAATTATTCGTTTGAAAAATCGGAACACATTTGACTCAAATGCTCGACCGCGGCCGCCGCCTATTCACAGAGATAAGACCACGCGGTGGGGCCCATCGGTTTATTATTGGATATATCTCTTATCGCCAAATACGTCATTATCTGCATTAGATTGTCCAAACCACCCCTGGGCCCTGACTCATGTCGTTCTTAACCGCGTATAATATTGTAAGCCCGATTACAAATCAAAATGTAATATTTTGCTGAATTTCTATGCCTATAATTAGAGACTGGATTTTTATGTTTTTACATAAAATCTTTACTGAGAGTACCTATGCAGCTCCAATTGGAGAAGCTTTCTCGACGATTCATTTACCTATGAACTGATATACAAAATTTTTTAGCGCATAAAAAGAATATTTTTAGGTTAAAGAATATTTTATGTATAAAAAATGTTGTAGGAATATATTGCCATGTTGGGTTCAAATTTGAATATTTTATAAAAAATCTAATAGATAATAAAATATTTTTATTTTTACTATTTAAAACTTGTTATTATTATTATTTTTTGAGTTCATAAGGCTAAATTATTTGAGTTTGAGTTATTTTAATACATAATATTATTCTGTTGTTGAACTATATGCAATCATTTTTTTATTTTTAATATTATTATATTTTGAATTCATAAGGCTGAATTATTTAAGTTTGAGTTTGAATACATAATCTCATTCTGTTAATGAACTATAGGTATGCAATTATTTTTTATTTTTTATTTTAGAATTATTATTTTTTAATTCATAAGTTTGTGTTACAGCAGTTAATTATAGGTACACCAGTATATCACCATATTATAGATTAAATATATAACTGTTTATTTTTATAAACTATTACTTTTATTTGTTTTTTCACTGTTTAATACATTTTTATGAAAAAGAATATTTTTGCATATAAAAGATTATTTTGATGAAATTATAGAGCATAGAAGCATCTTAATTTCATGATTTTAAGCGCATATAAATCCGGTCTCTACCTATAATATACATAATAGGACATAGGCAAGTACTATATTATATTAGCTTAAATCGATCTTAGGCCATGTATTAATTATTCTATACAGTAGCCTACTGCAAAGCTGGGCAAGTTAATAATTTTTTTCAACTAGTTGAAGTTAAGTTACTTTAAAAAAAAAAACTAACTAAGTTAGAATATAAGTTAGTTTCTGAAATTGTCCAAATTTCTAACTTAGTTAGAAGTTAGTTTTTTTTTATAGATTAAAAAACCTTTTTGTTGAAATGTAAATAATAAGTTATCTAACTTACCATATTAACACTGCCACGAAAATTCGGCATCGTGTCTATAAAAAAAATATACTCTTAGGGCCGTTCTTACAATGTCCGGTAAAGTGTCGGTTAACGCTAACCGACTGATAACAGATTTTATTACCGGCAGAATTCTTCCGGTTAAGTGTCGGTTAACTTTAACCGGACGTCGTAAGAACGGCCCTAAATGGTTAAGCCACCCGTATAGATACTATTTATATCTAGTAGATATCAACATTATACAGACCACGCGGAAAAGCCGTGGTTCCTGTGCGTGCATTGTTATAAATACTAATAATTAATAATAGGTATATAAGCCCATAATCTATATAGGCATATATAGGCATATAGCCATAATGTCATGATTGAGGAACAGCTTTTGGAATTTTGAAATGAAAAAAAAAAATAATAACTAGTTAGTTTTTGTTTTATCGAGTTAGATTAGACTATTTTACACATTAAAACTAACTAGTTAGTGCCCAGCTTTGGCCTAATGGTACTTATATTAATATATTATATACTATATAAGTATGTACTAGTATCCGAAATTTGTCACCAAGAATATCTTGACCAAGGGCGTATATCGGCTATTTTTCAAGAGGAGTGGGACATGCAAACGAAGATGGACATGATACGTGTCTTGTTTGATTTTAAAGCATGCGATTAATTTTTTTAAATCCATTCGTTTTATTTTTGATATTTTCTGGCCGCTTGAAGCCAAATCCACTTTTTTCTATATCTTACTGTTTTATAATTGATTAGTTTGATTGATGAGTATTTGCATTACTTTGGTATGGTTTTATCCTATTAAAGGACGACAGGTAAGGGACATACTCTATATGACTACCTAGTCCAGGGATATAAAGTATTCCCTGTAACTTAACGTGCTAAACATTACCTGTTTCTTATTTTATAGTATTATACAAATACGAGCATGAACAGTGGGGCTCATTATTCTTTTAAATAAATAAAAAAAAAAAGCCGGTAAGTGGATGTCGTTCTGCTGTACAGTAGGTTACAAGTGGGTTAATTGAAGTATAATGGATTGTATTAAACTTGAATTCTATGATATAATATCATTGTATAAGAAAAACTATTCTGAGCGGAGACGGTTTGTCCGTCTGGACTTTTTATATTGTTATTATTTATTGTAGCCTGTAAGTTGAATTAATATTATAATATTATTATGTTTTATTCGTTGCTATGGTGATAAACAAAGCGTTAAAAATTAAAATCCCATTTTTAGCGGTTTTTCGTAATTTGTCGGTAGTTTTTCCCGTTTCATTAAATAACTATTCAGAAAATCGAAAAATTACCTCTTTAAAGTACCATTTTGATCCAATTTGCTAAAATATAAGGTACTATATGTTGAAATCGAAGCACTCCTTTTAGTTGAAATTTTGTATACAGGATAAAAAATAAAAATAATAATAAATACTGTTATAAAACCACTTACTTCCTTGCTCTGCTCAGAATATAATATATATATATATATATATATATATTAGAGACAAACAATTTATTTAAATTTATTAATTGACAAATTTAATAATAAAAATAACATTACTAATATTTAACGTGCCCTCAACATTTTTTAACATGCTATAGTTGGCGCCATGGGGTAGACGAAAAGAAACCAAGGAAATAAAACTACAACATAGGTAAAAACTAAAAGGAAAAAAATACCACGAAAAAAACAATAAAAATAAAAACCACATTTTTTTTATTTTAATTATGTAATTAAATTGTATAGAAAAATATTCCACCTGACCAGGTGTCCTGTCTGTTGACTCGTAATCAAATTTGTAAATTTTTAATAATTCAAAAAATATATAAAAACTATTTTAACTATGTTATGCTATGTTTCGAGAGTACTTTACAAAATTTTTATTTTTTACTTTATTGGACTTATCTTCCTTTTAATATAAACCATGTAAAATTCGACAAAAAATATATTTAAAAAATTAAATTAAATTAATTTTATTATAATAATAAACTGTGTAGGTCCAATTGTTTTGAATTATATTTTATATGCCCTGTATTTAATTTATTTCCTATTATTTATTAATTTCATGATATAAGTATGAGTATACCGAATCAGAGGATAGGACCTATTGAGACGGTGAGTTGGAACTTGGATTATTGATCTACATTTTTCTTCGGAAAATTAAAACAAATGTCTAATGAAATATAACTGATAGAAAAATATAAAAATTTGGTTTTTATTTTCAAGGTTTTTTCCTTTTGGTTTATTGTTCATAGTTTTTTTCTGTGATTCGTGCCATGGATTTGCACATCTCTGACCTAGTCCTTTTGAGGCTGAGACACGATTGAGCATAAAACACCTTTTTTACGACACGATTGAGCCAAATTGTCGGCGTATCAGAGGAAATCAGAATACAAAAGAAAACCTACACGATTAAGCATAAAAACTCTGCAACGTTGCCATTTTCCATTTTAAACTATATTATACAAAAAGATTTATTTAAATAACTATTATAATTCAAAATATAATATATCAAAAAAATTACATAATAATAATGATAATGATAATGATGATAATAATAATAATAATAGTTATGAAAATAATAAAATCAAAATATGGTACGAATTAAAAACAAATACTGCATGGTTTATAACTTTGTAAGTCAAGAATACTATAGAGTATGGGTGATTGAACACTGATATTATTTAAATGATAATTTTGGAATTGTATCTTAATTCATAATCTTATGTTTACCTTTAATTTTAAATTTTTAAAACTTCGGAACTTTATTGCTCCGGAACTAGTTTATTAACCGATAACATTGTCGATAAAGCTGGGCTCAGCTCACGACTCGCGTCTGGTATCATAACAATTATTGGTGCAATAATATGTGAAAATAATAAATTACAACATTTCGGCCACGAAAATGTGGCAACATCGTATAAAATATTCTATGCTCAATCGTGTTGCTAAAAAGGTATATGCTCAATCGTGCTTTACCGCCCTTGCCCACCCGATCTAATATAAATAGCAATTTACAATTTACTCAGACAAGAAATGTCTTAATAATGACAAGAAGATAACAAAAGACTTGTTAAGAGGGCGCCTCACCCGCATATTATGTTATCTTCGTCTTACAAGTGCGTAACATGGCAAAACACGTGTAGCTCCGTTAGTTTCAAAATTAGAGTGAATTGACCTCTTATAAAATTTAAAGGTAAAATTATTATCCAGGCAATCTCATGAGTCATAAGCTTTTTATTATATTTTAATTTAAAAGCGAGTTATGAGTATTTTAAAACTGTAAATTGTTTGTACATCTTAAAATACTCATAACTCGCTTTAAAATTAAAATATAATAAAAAGCCCAAGAGATTGCCTAGATAACAATATTACCTTTAAATTTTATAAGAGGTCAACTCACTCTGAT